GGAAGAAAATAAGGACAAGTCTCCAGTTTCACCTAATGTCGGACACCCGCATAATGATAGCCATATTTTTGTTCCATTGCACCCTCATGTTTTACATCCTTCAAAACATACTTTTAATCGTTNTGGAAGAAAATAAGGACAAGTCTCCAGTTTCACCTAATGTCGGACACCCGCATAATGATAGCCATATTTTTGTTCCATTGGACCCTCATGTTTTATATCCTTCAAAACATACTTTCAATCGTTTGAGCATTGATACTAGTGATGAGATTATTTTTGATCCTATCATGTTTCCTACCTCATCGGTGTCAAAAGTTGAATCATCACTAAGCATTGAACTTGAGAAAAAATCTATTCAGTTAGTTTCTATGCAAGATGTTGAGCATATTGAGCTATCTATTTTACAATCTGTTGACAATTATTCTATGTCTACTATTCTGAATCATGATGACATTGTTGTGCATTCTTCTTCATTTGAGATTGTTGATTTTGTTTCGAATTCTGCCCCACTTGAGATTGTTAACTTTGATTCTTTGCCTACTGTCAAGTGTTCAATTGAATCTATACTTTTTTATTTTCAGCATCAAGATGTTATAATTACTCCTTTGTCATTGATGTCTTGTCCCGTTGAATGCTAGTTGTTTAAATCTAATGGAAATTATTTTACTATTCTTGATTTTGGATCTAATGCTTATTTGCTTAATTTTTCATTGAATGTTAGTATTAGTCCAGATTTTTATTGGGAGGACATGCTGCTTAATCGAGGTACTCCAGAGCATCCTATTTTATTCGCAGGTGTTCATACAGATGGACATTCTTGCATTTATCCTGGTCAATGGAAAGAAGTCGATGGTTCTTTCATTCTAGATGAAGCATTATGTTATCTTCATCCTACTCTCTTAGGGTACTTCTATTTTAAAGACTCTCCGGAGGAGAGTTTTTTTCAACCGGAGGAGAATGATGGGGATCGTGTAAGAATTGAATAAATATTATAGATTAATTATGATAGTTATTTAGATACTTTTAATATTTAACTTTTAAGTAATTTCTTTTAACTTTTAAGAGTTGAGTTGTCATTTTGATTATTTATTTATTTTAGGGTTTGTGATTTTCTTTTATATATTGGATTTGTGAATTCCTTATATCTACAGGGGATACATATTTGTTGGGGGATTAGATTTTAATTTTTGATTATTGATATTGAATCTTTTTCCTAAAATTCTCTCTTTATTCTTATCCCCTTCTTCTTTTCTCATCCCTTTCTTCTTCCCTTCTCATCCCTAATTCTTCCCTAATACGATCTACATCAATTTGATATCAGAGCTATTACAATTTACATCACCCTGTTAGTTTTAGCATCACTTTTAGGGGCACCTAGAAAATCTTCGAGACTAGTCACACGTTCTCGCAATTCAGCAGCATTTCCACCAGCCATGGTCGCAATACTTTTCTGGTGCATTGTAAACCTCAAAGCATGCCTATATATGGCATACAGAATGGCGGTTACAAAGCTCAACCGCTTAGGCAACTGCAAAACAGTTCAGATTTGTCTACAAAGCACTCGTAGTCTGTTGATGATGGTTGAGTCCACTCCCACATCTACTGGTCATGGTAAGGAGCGGTTGCAATTGTTGTCTGACCTAGCCAGCAACTACCCTCAACTGTTGTGCATGCGGAGTGCACATGTCAAAAACTCTCATATTGTGCACATGCCAACATTCTACACAGAACCACCCCTGCATGCCATGCACATGCTAGCAACCATTTGGAATTGCCACCATTTGTAGGGCACATGCCACAACCACCTCATATGTTGTGCATCTATTTTCCTTGCGAGCCTACAACACCTAATTAGCCTTATCTTCGTGCCTAGCCATGCCTAGCCCATGGCTTGTGCCCACGTGTCCATGTATTAGTTGCTATGCCTAGTCATACATGGGGCTTCAATCACCCACTTTGCATCCAATCGTCCCTATGCTTGAGCTGCCTCACTCAGCCATGCATGGTTCTTCAATAACCCACTGATCATGCCCAACGTGCCCATGCATGCGCTGCCTCTCTTAGCCATGCATGGGGCTTCAATCACCCATTGATTGTACCAAGGGTTTGCTTCCTCAAGCGAAACCCAATTTGGCTAAGACATGGGCGCCTTTGGGAGAGGGTGTCCTATGCCAATGCCGAGCCAAAAGCTAAGGGGATAACAATTGTCCTTAGATGCTCCATCAATATTTAACTTCAACACACCTTTGGGATTTGCCGGTTGCTACATCACAGGCAAATTAGGAACGTAGATAATTGTAACCATAATTGCCTTGATATCGATTTCACCCTAACTTGTATAGGAGTAGGAGCTATAGCTGTCAACTCTTTCCGCATGCTCTGTTCTGACACTATATCTCTATCCTTTGGCCTGATACTTCCAACTTGAAATTTTAAAAAACTTAGGATCGATCATCAAACATTCTTCTGTATCTTTCTTTCCAAATTTGCCAATAAATCATTAAGGCAATACTTCTAATTAATCCATGACTTAAGGGCTGCTTTTCGAAAAATTTTGTTAATCTAAAGTGAAAATATTAATCAATCAAAGTTTATTATCAGGAACCTCCTTAAACCACTTCACATCCTTCATAATACTAATCCAATCCAGAAATTCCTCTGGTTGCAAGTTACCATGGAATTTGGGGATATCAATTTTAAGGCCCAATTCCCATCATCTTGAACCGTCGTTGTTTTCCATAGGTCTCATCTCCTTCCTGTTGGACTGGTTTCAGCAAAAGGGTTATCAAGATCATCGTCAGTAGGTTCCTCATCCACATGGTGCAGATTCAAAGACTGAACCCGTTTTTGTTGTTGGTTCATGACCACAGCAAACTGTTGGGTTAACGTCGCAATCTGTTAAGATAATTTGGCTACCTCCTCACTCTCATGCACATCTCTGATAGGCATAGCGGCATCTTGTACAGGAGCAGGACATCTTCTTGGCAGCGTGGTGTAGGAACAAGTGTAGGTTCTGATACCAACTGAAGGTATCCAAAAGGAAGATTGAATTATGAGAGAAACTCAAGAAGCACATGTATGCTGTGTTTCTGCCCCACATCTCCACAAGGACGATGTATCAGAATCTGCAGAATTTACGTTAAGGGTCTCGCACAGTGGACGAGTAGACTGAAGAGTTCCATCAATTGGTATTAGAGCACACTTACGTTCTAGTTAATATTTTTAGTTCTTGACATGAAGTTCAAAAAATTATTTTTTGATAGCAAATCATCTTATATTCAATCAGAAGTTGATTGAAATTTACCCCAAATATTTGATGAATACTCTGATGATGATTCTCTAATTCTCAAAAAAGTCGATTTTGTTACCTTAATATATAATAAATATCTTGAGGTTCAATATTTGATCATTAATGAAGATTTGAAATGATTGAAAGACCTGGGGGAAGACATGGGAGTTGTCCATGTAGATCCGCCAAAACAATGTCTCTTTTTTGTTTGTAACCGTAAGATGGGTAGCTTTCCAGACGAAAAATTTTATGAGTGTTTTGGGGTCAAATGTTTTGATGAGGAGGAAGCTAGCGATCTATTATGGTTCAATTAGATCGTGATAAACAAGATAGTTATGATCATCAGGAACCTTACAAAAGAAGTTTGGGATGGTTAAATGCCTAAATTCAAGGAAAAATCGAAATATCCAACCTAGATTTGGTGGGCCGGTCAAAAGCCTAAATTCAAGCAAGAACTCAAATATCAATGTGAATTCGAGGACGGATTCTATCCTACTTGGGGAGAATGATCCCCGAATTTTGGTATTTTATTTGAACATGGTCAATACCGTTCAATTAGGCAATTTTGGAATATTTATTTTATTTCTTAATTTAGCTAGGAAATTATTTTATTTTATTTTTCAATTCCATTAGGATTTTATTTTATTTGGTTTCTTAATTATTTAGAATTTTAATTTCCTAGTTTGTCTAGAGCTTCTACTACTATATAAATACATGTAAGCCTTAGGGCAAAACAACTTTTGATGAATTAATACAGTATTGAGAGAGTTGTCTCTTTTCTTCTCAATTATTCTGGTAGTTTTAGGAATTAACAGATCGACTAAAACCTTTAGGACTGGTATTCTACAGAATTAACAGGGTTAAAGTATGAGCCTTCCGGTGTTTGTGTACAAATCAATGGTTTAGTTTTTTTATCCCATTTCGTTCGTTATACTCTTATTTCTACCCGCTTCCATGTATCAGTAAACCCATCCATTTGGTTCTAGTTCCTTTTTGGATACCATTTTATATTCACTTTTTAAAATGCATTAATCATTTCGGGGCTGAAACTTGAGAGTTTTGTTTTCATAGAACTAGTACCATGTGGTCTTCCTTGATAGACAAAGTTATTGTATCTGTTAATAGTTCTATTTTACCTTGGCCAGACCTGGTAAACCAGATGAATAGAAAACTTCTACCCAACCAGGGAAGCATTTGCCTGAGCTATAAACTTTAAAACTATTGACAGCTTGAATAAATGGTCTATTTCTCATTTTGCTTGCTGTAAGTTCTGGTTGATATCACAATGTTGCCCAAATTTTCACTTAATTGAGATTGTATTGGCTACAATGTTCCAATCCTTGACGATGCTTCATATTTGCAACATCTTTCAGGTTTGGCATGTCAGCTTAGATTTCCTTCGCCCAACACTGCTTCCATAACTCACTTGTTAGGGGATTTTTACTGCCCACTATATTTTAATTGCCTCGGGAGCTTGAATTACCTTCTTTTGCCATGCATAAACTTCCAGAATTTCAATATTTGTCCCTTGCCCATTAAAGAGGAAATTAAGTCATTCTGGGTGCCTCTTTGAGGATGGAAAGTATGCCTGAATGAACCATCCATTCAAATGTTGTTTTTATTTATAGACAACATTGGAAGTAAATGGAGAATGTGGAGTCTTCCCAAGACAAACTCCATAACACAAAAAGAAAAAAGTACGAACACAAGAATGAGCAATCCTACAGATCTTGTCTCATGGTCCCTCCAAATGATTAAAATGACTTCAAACTCGCCAAGGTTGAAACTGCACGATTTGCCAAGGAACTTGCATTATGTTTAGACAAAACTTGCATTATTGTTTGCCCATCTGGGCATCCAAGAAAGCTGTATCTAAAAAGAAACAATTGCTGAAGATCCTTGCATAAAACTAAGAAGCACTAATACAAACTTGAGACACACATTGAAAAATATGTGTATAAGTTTCTATCTTTCTCAAAAAACTTGCAAATTATAATCAAGTACAGTTACAACATCGATCTACTATTTACACTTTCAGTCTCTGCTCAACTTCACAACATTTTTACAACAAGAACACTACAAATTAATGAAATCAAAATTGAACAAACAAACTTAGCTAAAAAGAATAAGAAATTTCGTGTAATATGTGTATGGTCTGCTATCGGAGGCCACTGGAAGATGATAGATACAATAGGATGTTGTGTTCACGGGAGATATCATCTTAAGTTACCTCCCCTTCTCTTTCCCTCTTCCTTTTTTTAAAAAGATTTCTTTTGATATAATGTTTGTAAGGTAGTTGCTTCTTCTCCATCTTCTTTTATTTTTTGTTATTCTTTTTAATTTTATTTAAAACATAAATATTTTTATTTTTCATGTTTGACTTTAATTTCCTACAAAATTTGAAAAAGTTTCCTAAACCTGTTTCGAATGTGTCTGAACGAATCCAAATTCAAAAAATCTGGGCATTTTTTTGCATGTTTGACAACTGAATAAACCTTTCCCAGATCTCACACGTGTCTCACCTGGATATGTTGGCATGGGAAGATGTTGGTTCTTCTTAGGCATAAAGCAATCATAGTGCCAAGCACCAAAAGATCTTGATCTCACCTAACACATAAAAACTTGCCTGTCACCTTTTGTTAAACAATGATATAGACCTGAAAACTTTTCCCACATCTTCCCATCTTATGATTTGGTCCTAAAAAACTTGTATGATTAAATTTGTTGTTCATTCAGTTGTTTTACCCCCTCCCTCTCTCTCTCTAAGCCACCCTGTGCATCATGAGGAGCTGTTTGATGTAAGAAGTGATGATATGAGCACTACTTTGCATTAATGGGAAGGCTAAAGTTACTTATGTTGTTTTCTTTAAAAGGTGACGATAAGTTACATAGAAACTGCTGGAAGCACTACAACTCGTCAAAAGGCTCTCAAAGAACAGTACTTTTTCTCATGCAATTGTCCCCACTGCATAAAAGTGAGTAATTTTTTCTGTTCATTTTTCTAAAATGATTATTTTTTCATTATGAAAAGTGCACCCTGGACCTTCTCTACCACTGAATTTTGCCAGTGCTGTTTTGAAGGCCCAGTTTGATGATATTCAAGAAAGTGCAATTCTAGAAGGTTACATATGCAAGGATAATGCATGTAATGGTTTCTTGCTTCGTGATTCTGGTATGTCGGTTTGCTATGTGCTTCCAGTTCTTGACTCACACGTTCCTTTAGCTCTGTCCTGATCATTCCCTGTTCTGATATTCAGACAACAAAGGATTCATATGCCAGCAGTGTGGACTCTTTAGGGACAAGGAAGAAATTAAGAATATTGCTAGTGAAGTGAAAGTAGTGTCAGAGAAAGCCTCCTTGACACTTTCTGCTGGTCGTATCCTCTGAAGTTTGGACTGAACTAGTAATCTCCAATGGGAGTTTGTTTTTGCGGAAACCCTTCCCTTTCCTTCTTATACCGTTGATCAAAGTAGGTTGTGTTCTTATCAATGTTTGTGCTAACCTGGGAAAAACATGAACAATTTAAAAAGGCCAACATGATGTTGTAACTGGAGGAAGTATACTGGAAACTTCCTTGAGAAAATGTTGTGTTTGATCACCGATCCAAAATAAAAAGTCTTCTTTGACAGTCAAGAGTTCAGATAAAACTGAAGCTAGTGCTTTGTATAAGATGGTTGAGAAACTCCAAGTGAAGTTGTACCATCAATTTTCAATCAATCTCATGCGGACTTGGGAAAATCTCTTAAAGGTGTGTGGCAAGTTTATCCTTTGCCTATTCTTCTTACCATCATTCATTTTCATAGAAAATATGATACTGCTGTGCACTATAGTTGAAGTAATATCACTGATGTCGCGGAATACGTAGGCCTTAGCTCAATTTTGCTGACTTGTTCTCCTTAATTCTGTTAAGCTCTAGATATCATATTTGTTGAAATACCTTTTGGTGTAAAACCAGCTCTTATCTGGGACCTTCTGTTAATTTTGGAAGAGCGTTTTATTTGCCGAAGAGTGAAACACACCATTTAGTCGAAGGGCGTTTGGTTGCCCTTTTATAGTGTCACTTTTACATCCTACATCTATGTGATATCAAGCCTGCCTTTTCCTTGGCAGCATTTACAAGGAAAATAATCTCTATCTTGTAAAGGATTTTCTTAAAGCACTTTTTTGTATTAAAGACCCTAAACTTGTTTTCTGGCCTATTTTAAATACTGAGGTTATTTTAGGCAACTAATGAATGAAACGATATATTTCTTTAGGTGTTCATGGAACTGGAGGATTGGAAGCAAGCACTAACTTATTGCAAATTGACTATTCCAACGTATCAGAGTAAGTTGTTATCACTCAGCTAAAAGGCCATATGTTAAACTTAGCAAAGGTCTCCGGTTGCTAGTGGTTTTATTTTCTCTTTTTAGATTGTTTAACAAATGGGAAAACATGCCTATGGACAACTATTATTAGCTGTTAAGTTATGGTATGTAAAAATATCTTTTGAGTCTATTCCACATTAGTATGGGAACATGCAGGGCCTCCCCGTCATAACATGAGTGCATTTGTGTTATTTATCGTCAATTACTTACCTCATACACACGCTATTTTTGGGATTTGGAAATCCTTAGTAAGTTTGGTATCGTTTCAATCTAAAGTCTTGGGTTTAAATGTAATATAGAAGGGAGAAGAAATTAAACTTACAATTTTAAGGGGAATCTGATTCATATGCATCAGGCAAAAATCAAAACTTAAACAGTTGAGTCAAATACAGTTATATTGCTGGGAAGTGATTTGTCAGATGTGTTCATGGTATACGACAAAACACGGTCAAAATAACTTCTCTTATCAGTACAAGGCCAAGGGATCTTCAAACAACCAAACCATCCACGAAATCTGTAATGAACTTGAACTTCTGTTACCTTCCCCATTAACAAATACTTTCATTATTTGGAGGGATGAACAATTGTTAAGAGATTTCTTATAGGCACGAGGGATATTTATGTACGCGCGGTCTTATTATTATAAATACATGGAGCTAAGGGAGATAACCACAATTTGATTATTGGGACTTTCTCTCAACGGCGACTACATTCATATAAACTCTATCTTCCTCTATACTTCTTTTCATTATGTATCTTTTTATATCTTAACATGGTATTAGAGCTCGATCCGCTGTAAGTTGGTATTATTTTCATTTTAATTTTTTTTGGTAAAGTAAATTTTCTTTCTTCCTCCCATAGTTTTTTTTTCTCATTTTTTTTTGAACCCTAAAATAAAAAAATTCGGAAGTTTTTTTATTATGATCACCTAGGGTTCTAATACTCCCAGAAAAATTCTCAATTTTTTTGGAGTTCATTTGATGTATTTTTTCTTTATTTTTTTTTCTTTTTTTTGAAATTATTGGTCTGATATTTCAAAATCCGCTTATTCTGACTTGTTTAATGCAATCCGATTGTTAGAATAGCTCTTTTTTGGTCCAACATTACTTACCTTCTTGCCCTAACATAATGGTTGTTTCATCCATTTAGATGGTTCTTTGGCCAAACGTACGCTTTATCTTGCATTGTTTTTTATTGAAACAACAACTTTACACCCTTTTATCACTTTTATGATCTGATGTGGTCTTCTTTTTCAGTTTTTGTTGTGTGGGTAACTTATTCCTTATAAAGATTCCCTGAGCTTTGTGGGTTTGTAGATGATGGAACTAGTTCTTTGAAATTTGGAGTATTATCCTTGTTCGATGGACATGATAGCATATATTAAGTCTTCCAGTGGCAAAGAGATGAATGGTTTGAGTCGTGTTTGAATTCTTGAAGATGGCCGATCCCTTCAGATTAGTTCGTTTAATTTGAATGGCACCAATTATTTGATCTGGTCACGATCTTGATAGTTTGGCTATTACTGCACATGGCCTAACTGTTTACATTATAGGAACTCTTGAGGACCTTATGACAGATGGACCAGCACGGGAAAAATGGCAATCGGAGCATGCTCTTGTTATGATTTGGCTAATTAATTCAATGCAACCTTCTTTTAGTCACACCTTCTTGTTGATGGACGTTGAACATACTCATAGAAGGGTAATGAGGCATATGCTTATGAACTGAGGAAGANTTCTTTTTTTTGAAATTATTGGTCTGATATTTCAAAATCCGCTTATTCTGACTTGTTTAATGCAATCCGATTGTTAGAATAGCTCTTTTTTGGTCCAACATTACTTACCTTCTTGCCCTAACATAATGGTTGTTTCATCCATTTAGATGGTTCTTTGGCCAAACGTACGCTTTATCTTGCATTGTTTTTTATTGAAACAACAACTTTACACCCTTTTATCACTTTTATGATCTGATGTGGTCTTCTTTTTCAGTTTTTGTTGTGTGGGTAACTTATTCCTTATAAAGATTCCCTGAGCTTTGTGGGTTTGTAGATGATGGAACTAGTTCTTTGAAATTTGGAGTATTATCCTTGTTCGATGGACATGATAGCATATATTAAGTCTTCCAGTGGCAAAGAGATGAATGGTTTGAGTCGTGTTTGAATTCTTGAAGATGGCCGATCCCTTCAGATTAGTTCGTTTAATTTGAATGGCACCAATTATTTGATCTGGTCACGATCTTGATAGTTTGGCTATTACTGCACATGGCCTAACTGTTTACATTATAGGAACTCTTGAGGACCTTATGACAGATGGACCAGCACGGGAAAAATGGCAATCGGAGCATGCTCTTGTTATGATTTGGCTAATTAATTCAATGCAACCTTCTTTTAGTCACACCTTCTTGTTGATGGACGTTGAACATACTCATAGAAGGGTAATGAGGCATATGCTTATGAACTGAGGAAGAAGATTCATGTGTTAGATTAGAAAGACAAATCTCTTGTTGAGTATTATGCAGAATTGTGTAATTTATGGCATGAACTTAATTATTTTTCAAAGTTTTCAAGTTGTTCGTGTTGAGGATGTAGTTGCCTTTCAACAGATGATGGAGAAAATGTGGGTATATGATTTTCTTGCAGTCGTTAACATAAAGTAAGATCAGATTCAAGTTCAGGTCTTAGGTTGATCTCCTTTTCCCAGCTCGAGAAAGGCTTATGCTTGTGTTCAACAAGAGGAAGGTCGGCGTAGTGCTATGTTATACACTCCTATTCAGGATCGTTCTGATTTGCTTGTTACTCTTGCTTCACGTGATAGTAATGTTATTCACGGCAAGATTAATGGGAAGAGTAATGTTGGTAATCGTGATATGTTGAAATGTGACTAATGTAGAAAAGAACGCCATACTAGAGAACATTGTTGGAAGTTGCATGATCGTTCTACCCGAGGGCGTGGAGCTGCCGTGGTGGTACTGTGCGGTCTCAAGCTCATAATTTTGAGACTTCCTCAAACCCTACTATTGATACTAATGCTCTCTCCCAAGATGAGATAGACACTCTCAGACGTCTGATGACTAGACTTGACACTTCATCTATCATAGCTTCTCCCTCTGCGCCAGTTTCCTCCAACTTTGCTCATAAAGGTAGTCAAGCATATGCTCTCATTGTCATTTCTTCTCCTTGGATAATTGATTCTGGAGTTACTGACCATATGACAAGTTTCTGTAACTTTTTTTGTTCTTACTCTCTTTGTTCTGGTTAGGATAAAGTGAGAGTTGTGGTTGAATTAGTATGGAGTTAGGGTTTTAGAGAATAAGAGGGAAGAAGAGAGAAAGAGATTAGAAAAAGTGTATCTTATATTAGGTTAAACAACTACACCAACATATATATAGTCATATAGTGCAAAATACTAAACTACTCTTATTCTATATAAATGCATAACGCAACACTCCCTCTCAAGTTGGTGTAGATATCTCTCATGCCCAACTTGGAAATGATGGGGTGAAAAACTTTGCTACGAAGCCCCATTGTGAAGATATCAACTAACTAATTCTCTGATTTCTCAAAAGGCATGCAAATCAAATGACTATTTAACTTCTCCTTAATAAAATGCTAGTCAATTTCAACTTTTTTTGTTCTATCATGTTGAATTGGATTGTGGGTAATGTCGATAGCAGCTTTGTTTTCACGGTATAACTTCATAGGTCTATCATCAGAAAAAACCCAGCTCTCCTAGTAATGTTCGGAGCCACATAAGCTCACAAATTCCATGAGTCATAGCTCTGTATTTTGCCTTTGCACTAGATATGGCAACCACTACTTGCTTCTTGCTGTGCCATGTGACCAGATTACCTCCAATCAAAGTACAGTAGCCCAAAGTTAATATTCTATCATCCACTGACTCTGCCCAGTTTGCATCACTAAATGCTTCGAGTTTCAAATGGCCATTATTGGAGAACAAGATCCCTTTCCGGGAGCTGACTTAAGGTATCTCAAAATGCGATAAACAGCTTCAAGATGGGATGCTCGATAATCATGCATGAGTTGACTAACAACACTCACTACATAAGTAATATCCGATCGGGTATATGATAGATTAATCTCCCCACTAATCTCTGATATCTCTCCTTTTCTACTACCTTACCAATACCACTATTTAGTCGATGGTTGGCTTCATTAGGAGAATCGGTAGGTTTGCATCCTAACATCCCTGTTTCTTCTAGAAGGTCAAAAACATATTTTCTCTAGGAAATAAAAATGTCGTCGTTCGACCAGACAACTTCAATCCCAAGGAAGTGTCTCAATGGACCAAAGTCTTTGATTTTAAATTCCTTAGCTAACTGTGCCTTTAGTTTGGTGGACTCATTCTCATCATTTCCAGTTATCTCTATGTCTTCCACATACACAATAAGAATAGTGATCTTGCCATCCACCAGTCTGACGAACATGGTATGATTAGCCTGACTTTGTTTATATCCAAACTTTAGCATAACTTTAAGAAACCTGTCAAACTAGGCCCTGGGGAATTGCTTCAATCCATAAAGGGACTTCTTAAATTTACACACCTTTCTTTTAGTCATTTTAGATGAAAAACCTGGAGGAATCTCCATGTACACATCCTCCAAATATCCGTGAAAAAAAGTATTTTTCACATCTAATTGCTGCAAAGTCCACCCCAAATTAGCTGCACAGGAAATAAGTGCATGTATGGAGTTCATCTTTGTCACAGGAATAAAAGTCTCTTGATAATTAATGTCATATGTCTATGTAAATCCCTTAGCAACCAAACTAGCTTTGTACCTCTCGACAGTTCCATCAGCTTGTTGTTTTACAGTAAACACCTATCTATACCCTATAGACTGTGCTCCTAGAGGGATAGAAATAAGCTCCCATGTGTCATTCTTTTTCAAGTCTTGTATTTCCTCTATTATAGCTTCTCTCCACTTAGGATTAGCTAGAGCCTCTTTCCAATCTTGAAGTATAGATA